ATGAAGATGAAGATGAAGATGAAGATGAAGATGAAGATGAAGATGAAGATGAAGATGAAGATGAAGATGAAGATGAAGATGAAGATGAAGTTGAAAATGAAGATGAATATGAAGATGAAGATGAAGATGAAGATGAAGATGAAGATGAAAATGAAAATGAAGATGAAGATGAAGATGAAGATGAAGATGAAGATGAAGATGATGATGAAGATGAAGATGAAGATGAAGATGAAGATGAAGATGAAGATGAAGATGAAATTATATATGTATATTAGAAAATAAGTACATGTGTATGTATATCGCACATTTCTTTCTTTCTGGAATTTCCTCTATTAAGTTTCACTTCTTCCGCACGTAGGGACTACACGCACTGAGTTTTTTTTTGGTTTTTTATTTATTTTTTCATTATTAAAATAAGTTAACAAACTAATCCTATAATTAAAATCTAATTATTCTACCTTTTACAATTTACAAATAACAGCCCCGCTTCCACCTACCCCACAAAAAAATAAAAATTTAATAATCTCGCGTCAATAGCTTAACCAAGTCGCCAATATACGCTTGAGCCATTTGCAGCGTTTCATATTTCGAGAGGCGCCGATCATTACCCAGCGAAGGAACAACATCGCGTAGCTTATCGAAAGCATCATTCAAGCTATTCATGCGTCGCCGTTCGCGTGCATTCGCGGCAAGGCGGCGCTTTCGCTGGACATCCTGTGTGGCGCAGTTAGACGCATTCGCTGAGATGGCGGACATTTTGTTGAGATGGCGCTGACTTGGTGGCAAAGCATCAATTCTAAACGTCGTTCTACCCAACATTTTTCGTTTTTCTGATCCTTCTGCCGACGGTGATGATGCCCAACATTCGCTAAATGGTTGCGCGGACGTCAATGCACTTTGCAATTTGGAGGATGGCCAAAATTTGTGAATTTCTTTAATGCCAGATACGCGTTGCGTGCTCTCAATTGTGTGTTCGAATTTGAAGTCTCTCAGGAAATCGTTGTCGTAGTCGACTATTTCCGGTGGATTTTCTAAGGATAACGCTGGCGGCGATGACGATGACGACAAAGAGGAAGACGATGCTGATGATAATGCTGGACTATCGCTACTAAACTCCATGCCATACAAAGCCGCAAGCTCCTCCATATTATCACTGAGCACTTTTGTGTAATTTTCACTTGATTCCGAGTGGCCTTCAAACAGGCGCATCGTGGCGGAGTAACACGAGAAGTCGGTGTCACAATATTCACTGGTTAACATTTCGATTTGCTTTTTTTTTTTTGTTTTGCTTTGTTAGCTGCTCTACACAACTTTGACGACGAATAAGAACTGTGCGCATTTCGGTTGCTGTGTGTGCTATTTATGCGCATCCGTCGTGGCAGCGGCCTTAAGGATGCGCTGTGTAAAAATGGTTTGATTGGCTGAAATTCGTATTCTCCTGGCTTACCTGTCCTCACCTGACGGTGCTGGCCAAGCAATCCGTGTTTCTGATTCGTTGACGCTTCTCGCTTTGTATCTTTTCGTTCGTTTGCTCCTGATCGTATTTCTCTTCTTGTGGGTTTTTCTAGGGGCACCGGCTTAATTGGCTTGCGGTCAAAACGTTTAATTGTTTTCATGCTGCCGCAGAGGTTTTTTTTTGCACATAGTGAATATCTACATACAGGTATGTATTTATTTCTTAACAATCGCCTGTTATTATGTATGACTGTTTTTGTAATGTTGTCTCTGCAAATCCATTGTTGTGGATTCCTTTTGTAATACTTTGCTTGTTGCATGTTGTTGCTTTCAATTTGTAATAGGCCCTTAAGTGCTACCGCTTTGGAATTGTGTCGATCGTTTCAACTTTTTACCAAGCAATTTGTGGCTTGTGGAAAATATTCCTTGGCTTCAACCTTATACTTTCGATTTCTTTTGAATTTCTGTGGCTTTTGTGTTTGCAAATTATAGTGTCAAAATCGTATTATGTGTATTATTTTATATGTCAAACATTTGTACTCTTCTTTTAAATAATGTAGTATAAGCAAATTTGTAGTTAAGCCATGGTGCGTATGTATGTACATATATAGATGAGACCGTTCTGCAAGGTCAACAGGTCAACTGGACATTGAAATAAGGAAATGTGTTCGGGACCTACCTCGTAAAAATGGCATAACCTCTACCCAGCTGATTCGTGTCCTCATTACAACGAAGTGAAACATCAGGACTATCCAAACAAAAGTGTTGTGCGGGTACCTTAGGGGAACCTTAGATATTTATTACCTCAATGATTACCTTCAGATGGCTAGAATATGAAAAACAGGCTTCGCATTCTATTAAAGAGAGCACCCAAAAAATATTCCAAACGAATTTCTAGATCTGGTCAGTATGTTACTAAATCAGTGTCAAATTCTGCCTAGCCAGGTTGGGCTAGGTTATCGTGATTGCCCTCATCCAAAGTTGGAAGCAGGCACCCTTTCACCTGGAAGTGAAACCAATTCGTTATTCTGATTAAGATCATAGAATCATAGATGTTAGCTGTACTCAGTTCAGCCAGATGTTCAAGAAAGTCACGTTGGAGGGAATTTCGATGGAACCCCACCAAGGCGGGGCGGTGGCATTTATATATTAATAGAACAACATGAATTTTGTCCGCCTACGTTTGGCGGTCCTACTGGCCCGAAATGGAAAACAAAAGCACAATTCTTAAGATACAGAATCCAATAAATTTTTCCTTCGTTATGAATTCGAAATCCAGCCCATTATCGAATTTAAATTTTAATGAGAGAGAGTGATTGTATTATATTTCCATTCGAAGAAGAGTTGGATTTCACTTCCTCTCTTGTTACTTTGGTTTTAAATTTCTTTCGAACACATCTCGAATGTATTTCCAATACACTATGAACGTTGGAAAACTAATGTTGGTTATGAGTTCATTCTCAGTTCGATATTCATATTGGATATCGAAGGTAATTTTCGAACGTTCGCCAAAATGTTTATAGGGTAATATGAAGGCCAACTAACGATTACGTGGACGAATACGAAGACGAAGGCGAATATGATCACGAATACGAAGGCAATTAAGGGGACGAATGCAAATACGAGGACGACGACAAAGACGAATACAAATTGTAAAGCGAATACAAGGACAAGGTTATTAAAGTATGTATAACAATATGAGTGTCAGACAAAAGAGGTTTTAAATTTATAATAGTTTGGACACGATTTGCCACCTGTTTTAAAATTCGGATTAAATTAAATTATGTACAACTTATATGAAATATTACAATATGGTGGTCAAACGAAATATAACACTTTCGTACATTTAGAATATTTTAAAGGTTTTTGAAGAGGGCTGTCACCTGGGTGTCAGACGAAAGAGGTTTAAGAAATTTTTGGTTTAAATATATTTTTGAAGGGAGTTGAAACCTGTTTCAAAAGCCGAATTTGAAAAATTATATACAAGCTTTGTGAAATATTTCAATATTGTGGTCAAAAAAAGAGTCTTAAGAAAGCTGTGGCTTAAATATATATTTTTATTAGGGTTGCCATCCATTATGAAGTTGAAATTTGTTTAATCCCAGCGGACCAGCGCACAAGCCTTTAGCGAGAGTGTCGCAAAATATCCGCAAATGAGCTCGCATGTGAGCAAAGGACGATTGTGAAACTTCTTTGATCGTAAAACCCTCGCACACGAGCATTGCAGCGTGAATATTGCGATAGAAATACGGGTGCTCGAGCCTTTAGCCAGAGCATCCCAAGATGTCCACAAATGAGCTCGCAACACCCTCGCACACGAGCATTGCAGCGTGAATATTGTGAGAGAATGCGAGTGTAAATATTTTCTACTTGTACTATTGTAAAAAATTAGTTTTCTTTTATTTGTTAAGCTCGAGTGTGTGACAGCTGAATAATTAAAAAATATTTATTAAAAACTAGATACATTTTTTTGTTATTAATAATTTTCTGTGTCCTTTCCGGAGTTTATTTAATTGGTGTAAAAAGTAAGTATACTTTATTTGAACGGTCACTTGTTCACGAGAGCCGTGATTCGGGCCCAGTTTCTTATCTAATGCCTACTTACAAGATTTATTTATTACGTTTACAGACATATTGAACCTTATAACGAAGTTTATGGAAACCCAGAGGGCAACAATTGATAAAATTGATCAGTTACTAGCCAAAATTGATGGTGCTGAGTTAATTTCTTTAAGGAGTGAAGTTTCATCTATAAATGTCTCCATTAGTTACATTTTTTTAGAAGTTCAATGGCTAAAGAGTGCCTTGGTTTCGTAATTTTTAATTTATTTATACTCAAGAAACAGTTTCCTTTAAGCTGCCAAAGAAGTGCGTAATACTTTTAAGTTATGTATGTGAAATTTCAGTTTTTAATTTCTTCTATGCCCGAATTTTAGTTTAAACAATATATATAAACAATAAAAAACATTAAATAATAATAAGAAATATTTATTAATGGGGAATAAAACGGGAATGAAACAAATAAAAGTCTCTCAACCCTTATTTCTTGCGAACAGTTTGCGATATCTTTTGCGATAATTATTTGATATTTATGCCGACTCGGAAAAAATATTTTTTTTATGTTCTATTTTGAATCGATAACGTATCACATTTACTATTTTATCCTTATCGCTAGAAATATCAACACAACCTTGCAAAATATATCGTCAAATGCTCACTTGCGTTATTTCTTGCAACTATCGTAAATGAAAGTTTTACTGCCACAAACTGAACGACATATTGCTATCGTTTCCCCATTCATTTGCGAGAGTTTTGCCGGGTTAAATCTCGCCTTTCAATCGCATGCGTTATCATATGCGAGCATTTGGTCCGCTGGGATTGCACATGTGGTACATATGTATACATTTTTTACATAAATTTTTCAACTATTACACGTAAACGATGAGTGTCAAACGGGGGAAGAAATTTTTGGAAAGGGTAAAATTTACTTAAAAATTTTGGATAAAAGTTGTTAATTAAAAAAAATACTAATTTATTCATTTTTACGATGCAATTTAAACTGGTTTGAGGCAAAAAGAATTTTCGAAATTTTTGAAAATTATAAAAATTAAATTTAACAAATTATTTTTTAACATATTTGGCAAAACAATTAAGTTAAAAAGGAAAACAAATTCAATAAAAAAAAAATTAAATGAAATAAGTTCCTAAAAAAATAAAATAATATTTTTCTTTTAAAAACAATAAAATCTAAAAATTAAAAGGAAAATAAAATTTAAAAAATAATAATAATGAAAAGGGCTCTAAAAATTAAAAATATATTTATCTTCTTAAAACAATTTAATCTAAAAATAAAAATAAATTAATTGAACTAAAAGGGGAAAAATTAATTAAAATATTTAATTTTCAAAACAATAAAATCTAAAATCCAAAAGAAAATTTAGTTAAAAAATCAAATAAATTCCTGAAAACTACATCGAATTTAAAAAAAAATAATAGTTTTCTTTTTAAAGCAATAAAACTAAAAGTTATAAGAAAATTACATTTAAAAAAGTAATTTAATAAAAAAAAATTAAATAAGTTTCTAAAAATTAAATTAAATTAAAAAAAATATATTTTTCTTTCTATTTCGTATCTCTGAAAGAGAGATGCCCTAACCCAGCGTGGCCAAGATACCTTCGGCTTCCCTAATGAATCCTAAAAGGGCTCTGGAAGGCAAATTCTATATGACAAAGGGTTCGAACATTGAAGCTTTACTATGGATTAATTTTTGTTTGGCCAAAACCGGAGTCAGAGCTGGTATTCCGACTTTGTGGTCTCACCTATTCGCCGCAAGTGGAATAGCAATCGGTTGTGACCAGCCAGGGTCCCAGAAAATAGCCTTTCTGTTGAAAAGGTAGACGAAGAGCATGGCCTGTCTATGGCCCACCACCGCTCCCCAGTACTTACCCCCTTCAGAGTGTATCCACTCAGTAATTATGGCTCCCGAAGAGGACCAACTGAGACCACAGAATGGTTCAGGTCCCGAAAAGTTAGTTAGCGATCATTCTCGTGCCATTTCGTCGGCGACCTCATGACCTTCAAACCCACAATGGAAAAATATTTAATGATATACATATGTACATCACCATTTGCAACATGTTCAAGTGATTTCTGTCAAAAGAGCTTTTCACCACGAAAGTTGGCAAGGGAGCTTTTTTTGTAAGACTTTCGTGCCAGAATAACAAAATTTTTCAATCATCTTTGAAAAGACTTGCAACTATCTTAGCTAGAATTATCCATTGCCAATTGTTTATGTATCACTTCTAATATAACGAGAAGGAATAGAGCTTGCTCACATTTCTGTTTTAATACAGTCCGTTAACCCGACATCCTCTTCCTTCCAGCTGCTCCAGGACGTTACTAAAATCAAGAGCATCAAATCATTTTTCCTATCAGTTTCACATGCAATGCCGCCCCAAATATCACTTTCCTAAATCGTAGACAGAAAGTCTAGTCTGCCAAAACGGATCACACCTGTTGGTGAAATTTTTTGCTGTTCATAAAATGTGGCAAAAATCCACACACTTGCTCATATAACAATAGAAAATTGCATATAATTATGTGGCATTACATAGTAAATGTACTTAAAATCAATTCTCATGGATTGGGCAATTATTATTGCTAAAATGCAAGAATATAAATAAGAAATTCTTTGAAAAATATTAGCCACAACAAGTGCATGGGAACTGAAAGGAAATAAAATAAACAAAGAATATCAAAAATTAAGCCGTTTCTTTGTTTTAAACAAAAGAAAGGTTAATTGTTTTCGCACTGAAAAATTCAGCGCCAAATAAAGACTATTTTCCTTCCTACCCACGCAGGATTAGCAATAAAACTTCGTGAACCGTTAAGGTTCCTTCGGCAGACATATTTGAATAGAGAAGCAAATTGAATGTGAAAGTAAAAAAAAGAAAGCAGATACATACATATGTACGTGTGCATGTTTGTAACTCCCGCCCTCAAGTAGGTCCAGGCACATTTGGTCATGCCAGTATCAGTCGACTAACTGACTAACCAGCCTGATTGTCTGGCTATTGTTGCTATTGTGACATGGAAGATTTTTCACATAATCAGCTATGAAACACGCATGCGCAACAATAACAAACAACAAGACTGCTCAACTTCTTTCCCCGAGTGAAGCTAACCCAGTTTCGAGTCAAGAGCAAAGACAAGAAGAGAGGCGTAGGTGTGGCGGCGATCTTTGGCACACCCTGTAATTAGCCGTAGGCAAGTCTTTGATGTTTAAGCCACTCAACTGACAGTTGCTCACACCTACCAAGGTACTCTCAAACGTGCATATGAATGCATAGCTACATATGTATGTTTGCACATATATGAATGTGCGTGTCACTCACTAAATATTTTCAACTTCAATCACACTTTTTTAGCCAAATTTCAAGGGAATTTTTCGCACAAGTGTTGCACAATAAGCAAGCAAATTTTATACGCATTCAATAGAAATGATCGGCTTCCAGATCCTTTGTAAAGGACTTGCGGTCGCGTGGCAATTTTGACATCTGTAATCGATCAAGAATCAAGGATCAAAGGCCACAAGTGTGTGAATGTCTATGCGTGCACTATTGTTAGAATTATCGCATGTACCGACATACATAGAAAAATATTCTATTGTCATTTGAAATCGTGTAAAATGCAACATCATTTGTTAATTTTAGTTATGGTCTAGTTATTTCAATTTATAGTGAAAAGTCGTAAGACTATGAACATTTGCGCATACCTACTTGAATATGTGTAGACTTGGAAATGGCTTACTATGTACAAAAGGGATAAAAAAATAATAGTTTCAGAATACAATTTTCCAAGCTGGCGCTTCTTTAGAAGAAACCGCATTACCAATTCACAAGTTTCAATGAAATAAGTCAGCAACCGAGGCCGAAATCGTCTGCTTCGAATTCAATTCACGCTTAATAGCCCAAAGCAGCGCAAATCGCACAAGGATTTTGGCTTAAAGTCCTCATTTCTGTTCATATGCATACGTATTGATACATCTTAAGAAAAAACAAGTAAGAAAGTCTAAGTTCGGGCGGAGCCGAACATTAAATACCCGGCGCAAGTATTAAATATATGTTTTCCACCTTTCCGAAAGCTACCGCTACATGATAAGCCGGGGTGTATACATTTTAAGTAAATTAGCATCCTTAAATTTCGAAATATTGAAATTTCAAGCATATCTGAAATTTACCGTTATATGAAAAGCGGCCTCAATTTTAGTCCGATTTCAACAATTTTCAACGGTTTGCTTTTATGTGGCAAGCACAATAACCATACCGAGCTTGGTACAAATTGCTAGAACGGTTAGCGAGATACATATATGTGATCACAAGTGGGCGGTGCTACGCCCATTTTCCAAAATTTTGTCATAAATGTATTTCTTGGTAAAGAATTGTTGCAATCATCAATTTTGAATAAATTAGCTTCAATATTTACTGATTTATCGAAGATTTTGTATTTCTCTAAATTACCGTTATATGGGATGTGGGCGTGGTTATTGTCCGATTTTAGAAATATTCGGCCAGTTGGTATGCTGTACCAGGACCAACAACTGTGCCAAGTTTGGAAGAAATTGGTGTAGCGGTTACCAAGATATACACATGTAACCATAAGTGGGCGTGGCTACGCCCATTTGCGAAAATTTTGTAATATTCTTATTTTTCGTCTAAAACTCATTGCAAACATCAATTTTGAGTGAATTATCTTCAGTAGTTACTAAAATATCGCAGTTTTCGTTTTTCTGAAAATTACCGTTATATGGGAGGTAGGCGTGGTTATTGTCCGATTTTTAAAATTTTCAGCCATTTAGTATGCTGTACTAAGGCTAACAACTGTGCCAAGTTTGGAAGAAATTGGTGCAGCGGTTACCAAGATATACACATGTAACCATAAGTGGGCGTGGCTACGCCCATTTTCCAAAAATTTAAAATATTCATGTTTTTCGTCTGAAACTAATTGTAGGTATCAATTTTGAGTGAATTATCTTCAGTAGTTACTAAAATATCGCAGTTTTCGTATTTCTTAAAATTACCGTTATATGGGAGGTAGGCGTGGTTATTATCCGATTTCGCCCATTTTCAATACCATCCGTCCCACGCCCAAAAGAAGTTCACGTACCAAGTTTCGTTAAGATATCTCAATTTTTACTCGAGTTATCGTGTGCACAGACGGACGGACGGACGGACGGACAGACAGTCACCGCTTAATCGATTTCTCTTTTCATTC